ACGCATGATGGATAAAGCTCAGGTGAGTGTGTTTCAATACACTTCTTAAGATGGTAACTTTCGAGAATAATTAACTTTATGCTCTATTTTCATGTTGCATTGTTTAAGTCAAATAAGCAAGCTTCCAAAAGTTCTAAAAGACGAAGCGCTGCGATTGCTGTTGCAATTCGGGAGACAAATAAAAGACTACGACCTTCTAGTGAACCTAGAGATACCATGTCTACTCCAATTATTGGTGATCAAAACATGACTTCGACAAGTGTAGATGCTACAAAAAAGAAAAGAGGTCCAACTCAGTTGAAAATGGTTGCTAAAAATAACTATCAGAAAATGGAGCTTGAATTCAATGAATTCGGGCAAGCAGTTGGCCATAACTCTGATAAATTTGTCAGCATAGCCGGAGCCATAGTGCGGGAGTACGTGCCAGTTGTTATTAAAAATTGGCCTTCGGTGGATGACTGTAAAAAAATTGAACTTTGGAATTTTATACAGGTACACTTATTTAATATGATACTTTTTTATTATTGGTTCTACATTTTTCCTTCAAAGCTTGATTGCCATTTTCGATCATATATTGACCATTTATATTTGTGATAATTGTAGCAAAGATTCAATGTCAATGACTGCCATAAAAAAAATGGCATTTCAATGTATGGGAACATATTGGAGGACATTCAAATCGAGATTGAGAAGAGATATCAAACGTCAAGTACCATCTGCCATGAATAGAAAACGCGCTATTGCCCTTCTTAGACCTAAGAATATAACCTAAGAAGAAGCATGGGAGAAGTTTGTAGAAGATACTCTTTCCACTGATTTTCAAGTAAGTTATATTTTCGTATGAACTTTAAACTTTGTAGTCAATTATTGTTGGTTTATATTGTTTTCCTTGACAAGAAAAAAGTTCTAAGTTCAGCAAAATGAGAAGTAGTTAGAAGCTTCTCCAGACTATAAGTCGGAAGGGTTATTCACGTATGGCTCACGATTTGGTACAAGAACTATCTTTCTTTATTTTTGATATGTGTCTTTATTGATTTCATATACGTGTCTGTGATTGAGTTCAATATTGTTATTGTAGAAAAGAAAGAATCCAAATATAACAGGATTGAGAACGACAGTATGGACTCATGGACATCTTCGAAAGGATGGAAATCCAATAAATGAGGTGGTTGCTGAAACTTTGGTACGTGTATTGTGTGTGTGTGTGTGTATATATATATATATATACACACACCAGAGAGTGTGTGTGTGTGTAGATCTAGTGTAATATTTAAGTTTCATAAGTGCAGATGAAGATAAAAGATTGTGCCGAGTCAATTTCTGATACACTAGCCGAAAATTCTATTCGAGATGATGCTGTTGCTCA